AAAATAAATTTATACATAGGTATGCATCCCATTGTAAGTCTCATGAAGACTCACCTGGTAACGTCGATTGCTTACTTAACGGCGCTGACTGGTAACCTACAATTTATAATAGCAAATAGTACATAAATAATAAATTTTTCCAAGGACTATAAAAGTCAACTTACGGTCAACTATGTCGATTAGGGTTATCCTTGGTCAACTATTCGCTTGTTATTTAAAAGTCTTATCAACCCATCGAGGCTAAGGATGAAACTCTAAGGCTGCCTCTATGCTAAGTCTTGGAGAGGGCCAGAGCCTCTGTGGTGTCGACCAGAGCCTGTGTGGTATCAACCAGAGCTTCCGTGGTCTCTTTCTTCCAGAGCTTCTGGTCTCACGACCAGAGCTTCTGTGGTATTTACCAGAGCCTCTGTGGTTGAGCCTTGGGAAATAATTCGGTACCAAGGACCAGAGCCCCTCTGTCGTCTCTCTTACAGAGCTTCTGGCTGAACCATACTTAGAATAATAATACCATACCAAGGGCCAGAGCCCCTCTGTGGTTCCTCCTCCAGAGCTTCTGTCTAACACAACTTGATACAGAGCTCTCATGCAGAGCCTCTGTYTAACATAACTTGACACAGAGTTCTTACGCAGAGTTTCACTATAACATAACTTGATATGAATCTCTCATGCAGAGCTTCTGGCTAACATGACACAAAGCTCTCATGCAGAGCTTCTGTCTAACATACTTGATACAGAGCTTCTGTGTAACATTCTCTAAGGTGGCTTCTAAGCAGGATGCGATACAGCGTGTTTAACAAAAGAAATCTAATCCTTGAAATCGAACCATAAAACACATTCTAGGGTTCTATACAGGGCCAAAGTCACAGCTAAACATCGTTTAAATATTAAATTGGGTCGAGTGTTTACCTCTAAACGATGGGAAGCAGGGGGTTTCTTGCTGGTTTGAACTCCGGCTTCTCTCTTTCAAGCTCAACGATTCCCTTCTTCTCCCAAAGAATAACGACCTTAACCTGGTGTCCTCAATTTATACTCGCACGATTTGGCCTATTAGTTGACCAAATCGGCAGAATCCTGAGTTTTAGGCTAGGAACTGCTCTCTTCTACAGCCTGCAACCATGCAGGTCACAGTTTCCTCTTATGGACCAGGCACCGCCTGATCCTTTGCTGCTTCTCCCTAGTTGGCAGCAGGCTCCCCCTCGAATTGGAGCCTTCAACGTCAGTCGTAAACAAATTTGACATATTTCTAACTTTTATTTAACATATATATATATATGTATATTCATAAATAAAATAGAAATAATAATAAAGATGCCTTATTTTATTCCTCGAAATTTTGGGCTTTACAACTCTCCCCTCCTTTATGAAATTCCGTCCTCGGAATTAACACTTGCTAAAACAAATGGGGATACTTAGATCTCATTTCTTCTTCTGGCTCCCACGTCATTTCTACGCCTTTATGGAATTTCCACCTAACTAGTACCAATGGTATACTTTTGTTTCTTAGTCTTTTCATTTTTTTATCCAATACACCAATTGGTTCTTCCACATAGGCGAGTTTGTCGTTGACCTCGATGTCTTCCAAATCCACAATAGTCGATTCGTCAGCTAAACATTTTCTCAAGTGATACACATGAAAGGTGTTGTGAATACCACTTAATTCCTCTGGTAGTTTCAACCGGTACGCAACTGCTCCTACTCTTGCAGTTATCTCAAATGGTCCGATATACCTTGGACTTAGCTTACCCTTCTTTCCAAACCTCACGACTCCTTTCCAAGGGGATATTTTCAACAACACCTTATCACCTACCTGGAATTCCAAAGGTCGACGTCTTCTATCCGCATAACTCTTTTGTCTATCTTGCGCAACCTTTAACCTCTCCCTGATCTGTACTATCTTGTCAGATGTCTGTTGGACTAATTCGGGTCCAGCTAGTTGCCTTTCTCCAACGTCTGCCCAACAAATTGGAGTTCTACACTTACGGCCATATAACGCTTCAAAAGGTGCCGCCTTGATGCTCGAATGATAACTATTGTTATAAGCAAATTCTATCAAGGGGAGGTGGTTGTCCCAACTACCTCCAAAGTCAGTCACACAAGCTCTCAACATATCTTCTAGCGTTTGTATCGTCCTCTCACTCTGGCCTTCAGTTTGAGGATGATATGCAGTACTCATGTTCAACCGCCTTCCCATTTCTTGTTGAAAGCTTGACCAAAACCTCGAAGTAAACCTAGCATCTCTATCAGAGACAATGGATATCGGCACTCCATGCCTTGACACGATCTCGTTGACATAAAGTTGGGCCAATCTTTCCATTGTATACTTGTCGCTAATTGGTAAGAAGTGAGCCGATTTCGTTAGTCGGTCCACAATTACCCATATGGCGTCGTGCCCCTTTACCGTCCTTGGAAGTTTGGTGACGAAATTCATCGTGATCATATCCCACTTCCATACTGGGATCTCCATTTGTTGCAACATTTCAGATGGTCTTTGATGCTTGGTCTTCACTTTCAAGCACGTCAAACAATTTCCCACATAGCTAGCTACTGCCCTCTTCATACCAGGCCACCAGTAGCTTCCTTTTATGTTCTTGTACATCTTATTACTACCTGGATGCATAGTATATTTAGACTTATGTGCTTCATCCATCACTACACTTCTTAGGTCTCCCAAACTAGGAATCCAAACCCGATTTCCCATGTCTATATATTCCATCTGGTCCAGCTGTCAAGGTCTTAATTTGTCCAATCATTCTCTCCTTTTTGATGTTCGTTTCGAGTAGAGCTTCCTTTTGGACATCCCGTATTCGGTCTAAAAGCTCCACCTTAACACTCATCCATATGGCTTGGACTCTGATTGATCCGTTTCTCTCTTTCCTACTAAGCGCATCGGCAACTACATTTGCCTTACCTGGATGATAGTGAATCTCACAATCATAATCCTTAAGTAGTTCCATCCATCTTCTTTGTTTCATATTTAGCTCCTTTTGATCAAACAAATACTTAAGGCTCTTATGATCAGTATAGATCATGCACTTCGTACCATACAAATAGTGTCTCCAGATTTTTAGCTCGAAGACAACGGCTGCTAATTCCATGTCGTGAGTTGGGTATTTCCTCTCGTGTTCTTTCAACTGACGAGACGCATATGCAATGACCTTGCCTCGCTGCATTAGTACACAACCTAAACCCATCTTTGATGCATCGCTATAAACGGAAAAATCTTCTACTCCCTCTGGTAGTGCTAAAACCGGTGTCGTGCTTAGTCTATCCTTAAGTGTTTGAAATGCTTCCTCTTGTTTTGTACCCCAATCAAACCTAGTTGCTATCTTGGAGAAATCTTGGATAAACCTTCGGTAATACCCTGCTAGGCTTAGAAAACTTCGGATCTCCGATACTGACTTTGGTGATTCCCAGTTCATAACTGCATCAATCTTAGCCGGATCCACCTTGATTCCTTCCGTGTTGACTACATGACCGAGAAATTGTACCTCATGCAACCAAAACTTGTATTTTGAGAACTTGATGTACAATTGTTCCTTTGCTAGTAATTCCAGAATCAACCTTAAATGTTGTTCGTGCTCCTTCTCATTTTTCGAATAGATCAAAATGTCGTCTATAAACACTATGACAAATTGGTCCAAATACGGTCCACAAACTTGATTCATCAAGTCCATGAATGCCGCAGGTGCGTTTGTTAATCCAAACGGCATTACCACAAATTCGTAGTGTCCGTAAAGAGTCCTAAAAGCGGTCTTTGACACGTCCTCTTCTCGAACCTTCAACTGATGATAACCCGACCTCAAATCGATTTTCGAGAAATAACTGGCTCCTTGCAGCTGATCGAAAAGGTCGCCGATCCTTGGTAATGGATATCTGTTCTTTATCATGATTTTGTTCAACTCCCGATAATCGATGCACATCCTCATTGTGCCGTCTTTCTTTTTGACGAATAAGATTGGTGCTCCCCATGGCGACGAGCTTGGCCTGTTAAACCCTTTATCCAAGAGTTCTTGCAATTGCTTCATCAGTTCTTGCATTTCCGTTGGGG